CACTACTATGCTAAAATCCTTGTCACATATTTAATTTGAATAATTGTTATACTTTTAACTTACATCAACCTTTAATTCCTCAATGTATTTTATAGCACATACATTTTGATATATCTGATGCTATTTGTGTATGTTGTGTCTTACAAAGGAAAGAAAAATTTAAATACTTCCAAAGTTTAAAATAAGTAAAGAAATAAAAATATAAGTAAAACACAATCTTTATGTCTTATTAGAAGTGAGAACCAAAGCTTTGTCACTTCATTTCTTTAATGAAAGAAGGCAAACTTGCTTATTATTTTCGTGTAATAAACAGCACAAGAACTTTAACACCATTCCTTCAATTTATTAGGTATTTCACAGAAATCATTCACCAACCCTGAGTTTATGCATAACCATCAGACTAAAAATAGTCAACAGATGTAGTTTAATAAATATTCTTAGTGAACTTCTGTATTGTTATTTTTTCAGGACAGTTTGATGAAGAGAAAGAACACATACAATTATTAAGGTAAAAGTGGTAACATATAGAGTAGAAAATATGACAACTATGACTCTGAATAAAATATACATTTGCACTGTTTGGATTTTGTAATATGCTGCTCACAGGAAATGTGGAGGGAAAAGGAGCCAGATCTCACACAATACATTTCACTGAGAAACTCACCATTATGCAGTTCAGTAAATGAAGTATCCCCCAGTGAATACACCACACTCAGGTGTTCCTATATCACCCTCATCCTGCCTTTCTGTAGAAGTTGCTACAGGTTTACAAAAGTGAATGTCTGTCAAAAGTGTTTCAAATCCTGAACAAGGATTTAAATTTATAGAGACAATGAATCACACTTGATATGTAGTATTCCAAATCTAGTACTACTGCTAAAGCAAATTGCAGGATCATTTTTCAGAGGTGTTAGTTTGGTTACAATTTCTAGACAGGAATTAATAAAGTGCGTATACAGTAATACGAAGTATGTGAAAAGAAAGGCCACACAGTGAGATTATTTTTAAATTACCTCATTTGTCTATCTATTATCAGAGACAGTAAAAGTGAACTTAAAAATCACAAGCTCCATTAGATGCATAGATACTAACATTAGAGAAAGTCATTGCTAATTACACTATTATTCATTATACTCACATCATTTAGGAATCTATAAGTGGCGAGTGAAACTTTTGATTCCAAAGCAATACATTTTGTCAGTTTCCCAGAGTGACGTGGGGCAGAGAAAGCAGATTTTTGTGGGTTTTTTGGGTTTTTTTTTTTTTTTTTGGTTTTTTCTCCGGTACCGGGAACCAAACTCACGACCTTGCGCTTGCCCGGCAGGCGCTTTGCCACTGAGCTAAATCCCCAGCCCCTGAAAGCAGATTGATTGTAAGGCAGTTTCTGTCTATACAGTTTATACTTGAAACTTTCTGAAATAATTTTCTAGTGTTTAGGTTTACTATGTGGTCTTCTAGGTGTTTTTGACTGTGTGTACGTGTGTGGGTGTGCATGTGCATGTTTGTGTATGTGTCAGACTTCAAAAATTCCATCCCCTAAACAAACTACCTAAGATCAGTGGTACCGTTATGCACATTGAGACGAGAGCAGACATGAGTGTACGTGAGTATCGGTTAAATGGTTTGTTTCTCTGCCTCCTTCACATCCCTCCAAATTCACTTTGATGTCATAATCCTTCCTGTATATAACTTGAATATAGAAAAATTACTTGACATATTTGTGTGCAGTTTTTCCATACCTGATTCTTTTTTTTATTTTTTTATTTTAAAAATAAAAGGAGGAAAATATTAACAGACAGTCAACATTTTACAAAATAACAAAGGAACAGTACAGACAGTACAGAGTTACAAACAGAGTGGTAGGGAATTAACAATGCTTATTGTATTACATATTGACATCTTCAAAGTGGTTTCTCATGAAAACAGATATAGACATACAAAGCTGATCAACCAAGGACTCATTGACAGTTTCTTTCAGCAAAGGAATACAAGACAGTAGAACAGCCATGTTAACTATCCTGCATATACATACATACAAACTTTCTCCTTCTTTCCCTTTTCTTTCCCATATCCCAGTTATCCTTTACTTTTGAGTGCTTTCCTATCAATTTACAATGTCTATCATATCTCCTAGTTTAAGTTAATTCTTTCAGGCTTTACACTAGAGAAACAATGCGATGTTTGCACATGTATGTTTGCTTTACTTCACTTATGATTATGGTCTCTAGTTGCAACCATTTACCTATAAAAGCCTCAAGTTTATCTTTCTTTACAGCTGAGTAATATTCCATTATACAAAAGTACCACAGTTTTCTTATCCAATCCTCAGTGGATGGACATTTGGGTTGCTTCCACCTTTTAGCAATTACAAATTGTGCTGCTATGAACATAGGTGCACATATATCACTGTGATATGATGTTTTTAGATCTTCTGGGAAAATGCCCAGCAGGGGGATAGCTGGGTTGAATGGGACCTCTAAACCTAGTTTTCGGAGGAATCTCCAAACTGATTTCCACAGTGGTTTCACCAGTCTGCATTCCCACCAGCAGTGGAGAAGGGTTCCTATTTCTCCACAGCCTCACCAGCATTTGTTATTGGTTGATTTCTTAATGCTAGCCATTCTTACTGGGGTAAGGTGGAATCTCAGTGCTGTTTTAATTTGCATTTCTCAAATGACTAATGATGTTGAACATTTTCTCATATATTTATTTGCCATTTGTATCTCCTTGTCTGAGAAGTGTGTATTCATCTCAGCTGCCCGTTTTTGGTTGGGTCTTTGAAATTGGAGGGGCTGATTCTTAATCTGTAAATGAAGTTAATAATACTACTTTACCTAAATGTGACAATAAAAAGTAATAGAGAAGAAAATACACAGTGATGGAGAAGGTGCCATACACACATTTCATTTTAAAGGAACCTGCCCGTGGGAGGACCAGTCTTCCTCTGTGAAGTGTGCTGCCTGTTTTGTCTGCCACCATGGACAGCAAGGGGAAAGGTAGGTGCAACACCTCAGCGAGCTTCACCAAACTCCTGTATGGGTTAATATATAACTTTAGTTAACTACAAGGGGCTCCGGGTTTGTAGGGTATAGAAGAATCTAATTATTCCTCTCCAAAGGAATCACACAGTACATGTACAGTGATTCAGTGGTCCTCTGGTGGTGGATCTTCTTACATTGGTCACTTGACAATAGCTGAAGGAAATATGCATCATGATAGTGAAGGTACTGAGGTACTGAGGAGGGTGCTTTTTGCTTTATGGATAAGGGACAGGGTGCTACTAAGCATTGTTCAATGTAGCATTCAGATCCCAGAAGTTAGCACAACAAACATAATGCTAAATATGAGCTTCTCTGGAACACAAGAGCCAGTGTGTCCTATTTGTCATAACTCCAGATGTTCCAAATTAATATTTTCTGATATCCTGGTCTACTACATGACTTGCCTAACTTGAGTCAACTTTCAACTTTGAAGTTATAATGCAGAAAAAAAATGGAAATTGTGTATCTGATGCTTCTTTCTTAGCTTCAGTCAAGTCAGACAATTTTTCAAAATGAAACGGACACTAGTGTTAAGTAATCATCTTTACTTCCTTAGAGATTTTGGAAGGAAAAAAATTACTAGCAACCATAAAGTTTTTATTGTATAAACAATAAAACATTTGTATAATTTATGTTGTCTTAGACTAAAATTCAATCTAATGATAAATTAGATACAGATAAATGTGCTCACAGTTAAAGACCTTTTATTGAACTTTGCATTTTCCAGATCTCCAATCCCAATTTTTCTACCTACAATGCACAATTGGTCAATATTATATTAATATAAATTACATAAAATCCATTTCTGGATTCAATACTACTTTTAAAAATAAAATCCTATAATATGTCATATCACATTATTTTAAATTTACAAGTAAAATCTTATGTAGATAAATTTAACAATAAAAATTTTAAATCATATTCAGTTATTACATGGATTTTATGGGGGTATTTTGTGTATACAGATATTTAGTATTTAACTCATTTTATCTTGGAGAATTTCAACTGTAATTCTAAGAAGATCCATGGAACTTAGACACTAATTATTGCATTTTCAATCAGAAATTCTTTAGGAGCAGTGTCACTGGAGGTAAAAGGTGTTTGCAATTTGGTAGCCATATGTTATTTCTTTTGTTTTGTGCGTGAATATTGCTAAGCAAGAGGTTCATTTCTTTCCATCTACCGATACCTCAAACTGATGAATCCATTTGTGATCTCCAACAAAGATTATTAAAGCGTGAGTTTTATACAGCAACGAAAGAGGGCAGTGTATCTCCCCAGGGCCCCTGTTATCTTACAAGGAAACACAACGTGCTCTTCACTAGAATGACAATAACCTCTGCAAACTCAGTCCCCCATGACCAAGGATGAGGTCCCTGTTGCACAGTTGCAGACCAAGAACCCAGAGCTCTGCAGGAAGTGACAAGGTGGAGTGCAGGAAGTACAGCATTGGTGCTCTACCCACTTCATCCGTCAGTGATTGGACTCAGGGAAAATCATTTAACTGTTCTAACCCTTGTATTTCAGTCTATTTGATGATTGTTATGTAAACCCAGTCTATCTGCAGCTTTATTGTGAAGCTGGAATTTAGAAAGATATCTAAAGTATTTGCCAAAGTGTAAAGCAAACACAAGAAAGTGTTCAGGTGAGTTAGCAGATCCAGGACATGGCATCACTTTTATGATAGAATTCACCTCATGCCCAATACAGAGTCTTGTTTATTCTTATAAAATGTGAAGCTAAATCATACATAATAAAAAGTGGTGTTCTCATATAACACTATAAGATGCGCATATCTGTGAATAAGTTCAAAATTTTAAAACTCCTGGAGACTTGTACTGGTGATAAACTGCAGAACCAAGATTTAAAAATATTTTAAGAGAATGCTTTAAAAGTCTTCACTCAGTATTAATTTAATTTCCAAGTTTTGCATGGTGCAGAGGCACTTGTGGGAGCAATATGAAAATGCAGGACTGTGAAAATGTAACTCGCCTACCTGGGCACAGTGGGAGGTGTTGGTTCTTCCTTATCCGAGCTCTTACAGCACCAAGTCCTGCCTTGGAGGCAGTGGTGACAGACAAGTCCTCCCTGGGCAGGCTGGCTGGTGAGGACCTCGCCAGTCAGATCACCCCAGGTGCTTGTGGGTTTGTTCCAGCAGGGTCCCTGCTGCTGCTGCTCGGGTCGGCCCTGGCGCTGTGCCCGAACGTGGCCTCCCATCCCGCCTGTCTCAAGGGTGCCAAGTGCCAGGTGATCCTCCAGGACCTGTACGATATCGCGAGCAGCTTGTCTTCGCTCATGTATATCAGATCCGTTGTACTTTTCCAGGAATTTGTAAGTACTTCGTTCTCTATCTCTTCCTCTAAGAGACTATACTACAACGCAGATATGAGTATTTCAGCCACCTAATTTCATATAATATGTACCAACATGTTAAAAAAAAAAAGGAGTCATCCAGTAATTTTGGAAGAAGAAGAAAGGAGAAATTTTACAAAGCTGCTGATTGCGCAAGAAGTAAAGATTGCTTTACAACCTCCCTGCATATATTTAATTTTTAACAGTTTTTACACCCAGCAAATATCACTGAAGTGGAGGCGAGGAAGAACGCTGACTTCCAGCTCTTGCCTTGAGGCCCAGCTGCAGGCATTCTTCGCTGAGCACTGCAGACCACCACTAATGAGGAGGACTCTGAAATGAACTGGGTGACCTGAGTAGGGTCAACTGACCGAACTCGTGTCAGAGCAGAAAGCTATCGATTTAGTTGCTTTTTGTAAACCTCAAAAGGTAGAAATATTTGTTGAAAGATTTCTGGTGTGGGAGTTTATAATTAGAAGAGACATGCTAGGTAAGAAGGGAGAACAATGTCATTTGGCACATTGTCTCTTATCTCCTTTATGTCAGACAACAGATCAGGGCTTAGAACAACCAAGGACCTCCGTGGAGAACACGGCCCAGTGCTCGTGACGCACACATGCATGCAGTTCTTTTATTCACTCCTGTTTCTTTCATTCCCCAGTTTTGACTGGCCATTTTTTAACTTCCAAATCATTCTCATAATCTGAACAAATGTTCACGATTTCTGCTTAATACTAGTCATTCTATTTCTCTTTTGTTTTCATCTCAATTCATTATTTACAATCTCCAAAAATGTTTTACTCTGCTTTAATATGTATCTTGTCATCAGGTTTTGTATTTCAAAGTTATAATGAACTTGGCAATATCATGTGTGTCTATTGAGAGGTAACTGAAAACATTTTCATCATTTATTTAATGAAAGAGTATCACTCTGGACCAGTGGAAAAAAAGAGATAAAATAGGTAGGCATAGAAGCACGTACAGGATGTTTTGGCTGAAAGAGTGGAGAAAATGATAGCTAAAGGACTTAAAACTTTGTAGTTTTTACTTCACACAGGCGTTGATTTTCAAATAGTAAATATTAGAAAGGGTGAAATAATATGGAAGTAGCAAAGGAAAGAAGGAGTGAAGAGGTTCTAAAAGTCAATTCAAAATATTGAGATTATAGAGCTCATGGGAAACACCAGGCAAGATGGTTATTTTCTTAGTTCTGTAGAGTGAAAATTTAGGTATTCCTTACTTTGCAAAGAAAAATTATACATCCATCACATCTATTACTATTATTATAAAGATTCATATTTTTAATTTGCAACCTGTTAATTAAATGGTTTTCAGGAAAGAGTATATGCCCAGGACCCACTGTACTTTGTGGCAGCCATCAGTATGTGCGACACGACAACTCACATCCCCATTTCAACTGCGAATGATGACCTCAAGGAGATGCAGGTGAGTTCCTTTCCCAGCTCCACTAGAACAACTCAGGCAGTACACAGACTTTGCCCTGCCCCAAATCTAAGAGGCTCTGTGATCAGCGGTCACACTTGCAGAGAAAAATGGAAAAAGAGGGAGCAGCCAAAAAATGTGTTATATTGCTGATGACATAAAATCAAAGACTAAGTGAAACGTTTACCAGAACCAGAAATTGACCGTGCAGATGGTAATACTGAAATCAATGCCTCATGCCTAAGATTGACCAGATTAGGTGTAGGGAAGTTGGAACTGAGCAGAACATTCATGTATACATGTGAGAAATGCAGATTCACTTTTATTTATTACAGGTTACCTATGACTTATGCAACGGCCACATTTACACTGCAGTCCTGACCTCTGAGGGGTCTGCCCCGTCTTTCCTGACTTCCGTCACTCGCTTTTGTCTTCCACTTCTGCTTCTCCAGTGCTGACTTCTTCACCCTGGGCGTACTCCCTCGCCCCCTGCAGTGTCTTAACTCAAAGTCACCGCACTGCGCCAGTCCTGCTCAACATTATGGCACAGCTCTCTCACGTGCAGCTCTAGCCTGTGTTCTAATGACAGCAAAGTCTGCACATCTGACCGTAATCTCTTGTCTAAGCTCTAATTTTTTACTGTGATTATGCCCCTTCTCTAATACTGCCGGGAAAACAGTCTTCACATTTTTTTTTTTCTCGGTACCGGGAATCGAACTTACGACCTCACGCTTGCCGGGCCGGCTCCGTGCCGCTGAGCTAAATCCTCAGCCCCATCATGTTAAATTAAATAAACATATACAAGACAGCAAAGATAGGTGTACTACTAATTTCTATTAGTTCACTGAAAGGAACAGTTAATGCTTATATTGTTTGATCCTATATCTGGTAATATGAGCAACTCCTTTGAAGATAACAAGGTGCAGTATAATAACCACTGTCCATTTCCTGTCATCTTGTTTTGAAATTCTGTATCATTTTATTGTTCTTTTTTCTCTTTAAAATAAAAAAGGTAAAATTTCAGGCAGAAAACAAAATTCAATGTTATTCTTTAGAGGTCTCATTGGAAAGAAGCAATTATTTCCATGAGCCAGTTTTTATTTATATGTTTTACAGTACACAGTGCAGACCAATAGTTGAAGTTTGTTTCTCTTACTTTTATCATCTACAGAAGAGCATTACATAGAAAGGTATTACATAGGAAAGACATTTTACTTTCACATCTCGGAGCAAAGTCCTGCGTCCCACACTCAGCTGTATCTCATTTCTTTTACTGCAATTGCTCCAAACTGGCTGCACAGACTGAAGACATTATCAGAGTTATGTTCCGCCTGCTGAGCTCCTGCGATGACCCCCTGAAGCACCTGGCACAAGAAGCACATCGCCTGCCGAAGTTCAATCATTCGCTTACGTTTTCAGTGAGGATTCTGTCTGATGAGATCCGGAAACTTCAAGAACTCACAAAGCAGATAGTACACCAGGTGGGCAGCCATGGGATTCTCCCTTGGTTTTCTAATAATGAGCTCACATCTGTGTTAAGAAATGCTTTCAAATTCCTCACTTTTCATGAACACCACTTAGGCCCAAAGTTCCATCCTCTACTCTGCCATTAAACAAATGAAGCCAAACACAGGCAGAGTCTAATGTAAAGGGTATTACAATCTGTCTTGAGGGGGGCATCTTTCTTGCACTGTCTCACAGTCCTCAAGGATATGTCCCTGCATGAGCTCAGTGGGTAACAATTTCTCAGGAAAGAAAATCAAAGCAGAGGATCTGCAAAAGAAACGTTTTTTCCAAAGGATCTAACTACATCCACAAGAATTTTGCTCATATTCTTTCTCTTTTCTCCTCACATCAGAGAATCAGAGTGGGAAAGGATAAAGGAAATAACCAAAGCCATATAGGATCATCTTTCTCCACACCTCCAGCCAGAGTAGATTGATAAAGCCTTAGCAGCAGTGCTGTCCCATAAGCACTAGATACCAGCACATGCAGAAGAAGTACTATTTCTACTCTGGATGTTAACTGTGTTATACTTCATAGAAGGCCATGCTAAATTTCAGTTTTCTTGGAGTTCCTAAACAAAAATTTATATTATTACCTTTAGTCTTCAGAAATAATGTGTCATGCCTACATTGAATTGCTATTTTAAATATGTACCTCCTCTCATATAAAAATTCCAACATTACTGAGGTAACATATAAATAACTTATAGAAATGCTCATAGTAATATAAGATTTTAGAAATAATAACAATATTAAAAGCAATATTTTATTCCTGCTTTTTAAAGTTATTTTTAAGTACATATTATGTTGTTTTATTTTTATAGGAGAATGCAACACAAATAAAAATAATATAATTAACCAAAGATCTTAGAAAACAAACACCTTAAGTTCAAATTAATTTCTTTGTTACGGTGGGCCAGGTTCCAGAGGTCAATGATTTGTTTTCTGATGGTTTGGTTTATGTTCCTTTTTCCCACATCTTATTTATTATTGTGGGTATCGTTGTACATTGTTCACTAAATCTTAGGGCTCACGCTCCCAAAAAACAAAAAACAAGAAATCCAGATAAAATGTAAACATGCATGCTTCACTTTTCAATAAAATATATTCTTTCTATGTAGGAGAAAGTTCAGCAAATCTGGGTCTACAGTTATCCCAGATTTGTACCTCATATCTCTGGAAATGAGCTGGCATCTTCAGAGGCAGCACAGTGTTACTGGGGCTCTGGAATCTGAGGGTCTCCCAGCTTGCAGAGGATGACAGGGGGCACAGGGACCCACTGCCCTTTCTCTTCACTGTGCAGTGCTTTGCTGAGCACAGTCTCCCCACCCCACAGCACAACCCACACTAAGGTAGTTGATCCAATAACCTCCTTCATATGCATGGTTCCCCAAACTGCTCTCACTGCATAGAGCTCAAAAGAGAAACTTACTTCTCTTGTAAATTTGGACAGCGTTTTTCCTTGATGTAGTGAGGGACTCTGAAATTTTTCCTCAGTCATAACTTGGGGTGTCAGCACCTTAAAGCAGCAAGTGTAGAGCTCAATATCTCTATAATATTCAAGCAGATACAATATGCAGAATAGATCAGTTCAAAGCAACCAAAAGTAAACACTGAATTATCAGAAGAAATGAAATACAAAGCAAACAGCAGCTAAAAGTGTCAGGAAATGTACTGGTTCTTTAAAACTGTGAATGGAAATGAGCCTTTACAATATCCTTGGCAAGATTCATGTCTAAATTCAAATAAAAACATTTTAGATATCCACTTGTCTGCCCCTGGGGGCACATACTTCATCTGTGGTCACTTACATGTCAGAAAGGCAGAACATGTGTTGAGCTTCTACCTTTTAGGTGACTAATAGTGTTACAATACACTGGACAGGATACATGAACTCTTATGCCATGGCTGAAGTTTAATATTTTTTTTTACTTTCTGTGTCTCAATTTATCAAGTAAAAAGATGAAAAATATACAAACATCAGTAATATTATTACCAAATGACTATTTTCTTTTCATCGCTAGTTTCATCCAGATATGACACTTAACATGGACTCTGCTTTGTGGCCGGGACTTCAATCTTTGCAGTCATCTGATGAAGAACCTCGTTTGTTTGCTTTTTATAACACACTCCGCTGCCTGAAAGCTGATTTCCAAAAGATTTTAGTTCTTTTTAAATACCTGAACTTCACTAACTGGTCAAGGTTGCAATGAGGTCATCTGCTAATCCGTATCCACTCCTTATACTTCTGAGATGGCACCTCACTCTTCCTTTCCAATGACTCTGTATTTCTGATATTTTATAACATGCTTGATTGTAATGATTATGGTGTATTTTGTTAAACAATAAAAATTGATTATTTAGCATTGTCAAATTCTTAAAAGTCAATTTGCCAAATTTTATTCTTCCTTTAACAAAAACTAAAAGAAATAGTATCAGCACCACTGAAAAATACTGATAAAACTTTGCCAGAAATAATAGAAACTAATTTTGCACTTAGGACAAACAGGAGTTTACTTTAGAATCACATTAAATTAACTTTGTTCATGTAAAAATAAAAATGTTAGATTAATATTAGTCATAGTTGTGTTAGAAAGAAGAAAAGATTTTTACAACTGCTCAGGGAAGCCAGCCATGTTCTATGATCTAAATTTCACTGTAATTTTTCAGAGATGATACAAGTTCTGTTGTAATTGCCGTGCACTTTAAGAGCATGAGTTTACTAAACCATCTAGAAATAGGATACTAACATGGATTCTTTTCAGATTCCTCTAACATCTGCCTTCAACCATGTTCCACTGCACACCTATCTCTTTAACATCATCTTGGAAACTGTGCATATCACTCCTGGTCTAAAAATCTAGTCTGGTCAAGTTCTGACTCCATCTTATATTCAACTACTTAATATTTTCCTCTCCTTGTGTAGGGATAGATGGATCACATGCCTAGGATCATAAAATGGATACAAGCTCTTTAGAACTTAGGAAACCAACAACCTCTACCTTGTTCCAAGAATTTACACTCTGCATTTTTGCTTTGTAACACTATCTACCCTAATTGTTGCAATTTGTATCAACATTTCTCTATTAATCCAAGAGACCCCAAACCTTAGCAACAAACCAACCAATCAGGTGAGACTCCCCTCAGAGGAAGGAACCACCACCTCAACCCAATAAACAGATGACCACTGCCCAACACTCCACAGTTACCCAGCTCCAGAGTTCCCTTCCACAGATTGACTTTGTAGCTTTCTTAGGTCAATGAACTCTACGTCTGCTTTGCACTACCTTTTGACTCCTCATTTCCTTTCTATGTTGGAAATAAAGACAAGCCTAGGAAAATTTCCTGGTGAACTGATAACTTCAGACCTTCCCAGGGAGATGGGATATTTTGGAGGCTCATCTGAGATTATAAAATAGCCATAAATACCACCAGAAGGTCAATATAACCCAGTCTAAACAGGAGTGAATGTGGGAGAACTCTCCAAACTTTTCTCTTCTTACTTTCCTGAGATCCCCTTGACCGTGGTCAAGCATGGTCAAAATCTCTTGCCTAGGCCTTTCGGGGTGATAAGGGACCCTGCTTTGGGGGTGTCTATCCTCATATGGCTAAATGGCAGCATGCACGCATGGGTGCAGCAACTCATATGACTTTCTGGTGGTCCATAGTTGATTCGTCTGGGGAAGTGACTGGCTTGCTACTCCTCAAACAGGTTGGGAAATTTTACTGATATTCCTATGCTGAGAGAATTGGCTTCCCACTCTGTAGCTTGATCTGCACCTGGTCTGGAGTTTATACCAACCTGTAAACTGCTAAGAGCCTGAGATCCTGGTTTGCATCTCATTAAGGATTTAATTGACCTACATAGTACCAAGAGGGGAATCTCCTTGGTTTGGCTAGAGTATAGGACCCCAGGTTGAGGGAAGGGAAAGGCACATATATCAGGACCCAAAGATCTCTCTGCCTGTGAGTTCCAGAGTATAATTTCTTCAGGCCATTTGCAAATTATATTTTTCAGGTGAAGATTTGCGTCTCCTCCTGATATTGAGCTTCCCCACCCAGAACTGTCCTTTCTGTTGTGACTTTACAGGGAAAGCTGGGCATTGAGGTTAGGCCCTGCCTAGACCCTCACCACATTTCACTAGTTTTGTCATCCCCCTACCTTTCCTGATGAGTTCCATAGGGACCTTAGAAATGGGCTTGGTGAGGAGACTGCTACACAACCTGTCCTCCTGCTGCAGTGTTGGGGCTCTGTGACTGAGCTGCAGAAGGAGTCTGATCAACCTCACCCTGAACTAGACGGGTCCTTTTGCCTTCATTTCTTCCACCTGCCCTGAATTATATCTTGACCACTCTTGGATTTGGCCTTGAAACATTGTCCCGACAAATGAGAGGGCTTTGGGGAATGTGGCATGTTTAAGGAGTGAGGTAAGCAAATTTATTGGAGATTTCAGAAGAAATACCAAGTTTCATGGCTCAGGTTAGGTATGAGACCAGCCCACCGCTCTAATCCATGTACAGGTTGAACAGAGGCCACTTTATTCTGAGTCTGATCTTACAGCCCTGCTGGAACTGTTGCTACATCACTACTCCAACTTAAGGGGGAAAACAGGACGGGTCCCATTTACTTACTCAGAGTTAGGAAAAATGAAATGAGATCTGGGAAGTTTCACAGATGACCCAGAAAGATATAAGTGCTTTTATACGCGTAACTTCTCCGTTTAACTTAACTTGGGATGATGTGAGATTTCTCCTAAGTCTGACTCTTAATTGGGGAGAAAAAGTGTTTCTCGTGTTGATATGAGAGCTGGCAATGCCTACTACACGTGTCTACAAGAGCCAGAATGAGGAGAGATGAAGCCAAGGAGCAGATGAAACTGAGGTTTACGCTTCTAATAAGGAACAAACTGGCCTCTTCTCCAAACTTCAATGGGTCTATGAAACACTTAAGGGAAAAAAGACTGTTTGCTCTTCCTGTATTGCATCAAGGAAGGACTAACAGAAGCAAAGGTCAAAACTGTTAATTACACAAAATCAGTACACCTTCACCAAGAAGAAAAATAATCTCTCAGTGGATTTGAAATGACTAAAGGATGCTATGACAACTGTACCTTAATAAATCCTGGCAGTGTCACTGGGGAAGGCCTTATCAAAGATAGGTCCCTTGACAGCTGCTACAAGCTTTTTTAAAAAGAGAAAAAAATAACAACAATGAAGACAAAAACAGAACAATACAAAAACAATAAAAACAATACAGGATTTCAAAACAAGATGATAGGAATTAACAATGGTTGTTATATTACATATTGTTATTTTCAACGAAGTTGCTCAGATTATCAGATGTAACAATGCTAGAATGATCAAACAATTAAAGACAGTAACAAGTAATAAAAAATTAGAAATGATACAGAGCTTCATCAGATAAGACGTTAGGAATTCAGCAATGGTTGTTATATTGCACATTGCTGTCTTCAAATTAGTTGTTGCAGTTACCAGATATAAGCACTTAAAATTGGTCAAGAGAAAAGAAAAAAAATTAAGCATTACCTGTTCCTTTCAATAAACCAATAGACATCAGCAATATAGTTATCTCAGCTATCACTGTATACATTTATATATTATTTTAAAGAGAAAATATCAAAAACAAAGGCATAAACAAAACAATAAAAATGATATAGAATTTCAAAACAAGGCAACAGGAAAACAACAATGGCTGTTATCCTACACAGGGCTATCCTCAAAGTAGTTACTCAGACAATCAGACATAGGCATGCAAGATTGATCAAACAATTACACAGTAACTGTTCTTTTCAATAAACCAATAGAAACTAGTATTACAATTAGCTGTCATGTGAATGTAAATATGCTGTTTCCCTTTCTTCTTTCGTTTCTTCTTTTCCTTCATCCCAGTTGCTCTTTTCAACTTGAGCAGTTTCTTTCCCTTTCACAATATATATTGCATTTTTCAGATTTTATTTTCTCTTTCAGGTTCTTATACTAGGGAGGCAATACAATGTTTACATATGTGAGTCTGATTGATTTCACTGATGAGTATGGTCTCTAGTTGAATCCATTTAACTATAAAAGCCTCTAGTTTATTTTTCCTTATAGCAGAGTAATACTCCGTTGTACATAAATGCCACTTCTTTTTTATCCATTGATCAGTTGATGGACATTTGAGTTGTTTCCAAGATTTAGCTGTTACAAATTGTGATGCTATAAACATGGGTGCACA